ATTTAAAGTAACCATGTATTTTCCAATCTTGGCCACCTAAGCCCAAAACGTGGAGTTGCACGCGTTGGCACTAATCCTACAGCTGATCGTGTAGAAATAGCAGAGCCTGGAAAAATGCAAAAAAATAGTTGGTGAATGGAGTCCAATTGACCTGCCATCTTGTAGCAAGGTGCCTGGTCCAGCACCTTGTACCTAGTGGCATTCAAACATATGTTGAATGAATAACAGATTCTATTTGCAATTTATTGCCAGCATTTCCCAGGCAATGGACAATATAGTAACACAGCTGAAGCCTTGTCTCACAGTTGCTGTGACTTTTGGTAGAATTACAGTGAAAGCATTAACCAGGCCTTGCATACCTGCCTGAGCATAAATCCCGGGAGTTGCTTAGAATGTCAGAGATAAGAGGGGGATAACTGCTCCACGGAGTAGCAGGAGACCCCAGCTTAGAGTGCCCAGTGTGGCCGAGGGGCAGACATGAGTAAAATCCCTTTACTCAGAGGCCAACAGGCCAATGGAAATGGGAAACTAATTACCAAGGGCCAGACCCTGGTCATGGAGTCAGTATGAACAGGGTAAATCCTCTTAAAATCCATGCCATGTCTTGCTCAGAGCAGAGGTCAAGTGCATAAACCCAGGGAAGTAAGCTGGGGAAATGTGATAACCAAGTTTCAGAGTGTCGAGTCAGAGAAAATGTGCAGACGATTGAGCAGGAAATACAGGAAGCCATGACTCCAACAAACAAGGCAAGAAATGTCCTCCAGAGAGAAGCAGAACATGCAGTGGTTTGGTGAACAGGCTTTGGCACCAACTTGTGTGCGTTGAAATCTTGGCTCTTACTTACTAGCTAAGGACAAGTGACTTAACCTCTCTGCATTATAGCCCCTTTCAGAGTTAATAGCAGTGCCTGCCCTCTCGGTTCTTGCAGAGACTAGCTGAGTTTATACATGTAAAGCATCTAGCATTCAAACCCAAGTGAGGTCATTTATAGGCATCGCTGATATGCCAGCTACCTTGTTTGACTGTTATTTCTTGAGTGCCTCCATGTGCCTGGCACTGAGAATACAATGAAGAGCTAAAACAAACAGGCCTCTGCCTTAGTCGACCAGAAAAGAAAATATTGGAGGGTCGGTATTAGGTAAGAGAGAATCAGGTAGACCTGAAATGGTTTTTAATGAGACTCTTAAGAAAGAATGATTATGTCAAATGTACCACTCTAGTGGGGGACGCTGAGCGTGGGGCAGACTATGCAGGTGTAGGGGCAGGGAACTCTCTCTATTTTCCATTCAATAGTGCTGTGAACCTACAACTGCTGTAAAAAAGTAAAGTCTATTTAAAAAGTTAAAAAAAAAAAAGACAGTGAGATCTCTGAGAGGAGATCTTAAAAGTTCTCATTAAAAAAAAAAGCAAGAGTGGATGAATAATAGAGAAGGCTTTTCTCTGATGATTTTTGGTAACTCCACAGAAAACCAAGTCTTTTTTAATCTTAGCTAAATCTCAATCATAGTTTGTTAAATTAGATTTATATCATGTACATCAGCTAAGCTCATTTTGTTAAAAATGGCAGAAAGTGAAACTTAATTGGAGCCAGTGATACTCATTTCTCAGAGGCACTAGTTGTTGTTACTGCACACATGGAACTTGTTAGAAAAAGCAGTGAAAGGAACAGCGAAGCTGGAGCCTAAGGAATTTTGTTTGTTGATTTTGCAAGGTCATGCTTGCTTTTAGCAGTCAGCTACAGGTTGGTGTAAACATTCAGTCACTCGGTTCGTCTTCCAGTGTTTACTGGGGACCTATTACGCGTGAGACGCTGCTTGGACCTGACATTAGAGCAATAAATAGGGAATGATTCCCCCAGTCAACAGGCTCATAGTTTCAGACTAGATGAACACAAGAACAAGCAATGCAATGGGGTTACGTGCCAAAGGAGGTACAGGTAATATGAAAGCAAGGAACTCATTCATTCATTCATTCATTCATTTGTTTGTTCACATATTTATTTGTTAATTTGTAATGATATTTATTTGTTAGTTATGTATTACGTGAAAGGCGCCATAGAAGTACTGGAGATGTAGTCATGGATAAGACAGATCATCCTTGCCCTCTTGAATCCCTTGTGCTTCTGCCTGTTATGTTTGTAGAGAAGCTTTGAGTTGGGTCTTGAAGAATGAGGGGTATTTTGGAGACAGCCAAGGTGAGAAGGATGGGACTGTCCCGTGCAATTGGGAGCCCCAATGCCTTGTGGAAAGCATGCTGGCGCTTAGCTCTGCTGACTCCATCTCGGCACCAAGTGGCCCCAAATTGGGTCTTCACAGAGATTTATGACAGAAGCCCTTCTACGGGTGATGACTGCATTTTGTCTGTAAAGAATGACTGTACCCAGACTCCATTGCCATCTCTCATCTCAAGGACAGTCACAGCCTATTTTAGGACATTTTGATTTTCCTCATTTTAATCAAGGCCTACAAGGCTCATCAAAATGTATCCAAATCTGTTTTTAGAGACCTACAAGAGTCTCTAAGCTTTAGCCTTTCATTTCAATCCTCTCATCTTAGGTACTTCAATATTGATTTTTAACTTTTTTTGTATTCCAAAAAAAAATGTATAACCAAGCTCAGTTGTCATGGACACGAATATTCCTTCAGTCTCAGAACCAAAAGTGGACACATGGACATATAGTTATATCTTAGCCTACATACAACTGGATCATAACTTCAAGGGTAATAAACACTAAGATTCCCCTTTAATATATAATTGTATCCTTAGAATGTTCTTGCTTCCTTTTTTTTTTTTTAAAGCATTTTTAGGGGCTGGAGTGTTTTTGTGAGGTTCTTCCTCTCTTGACGTGTATTACAGAGAGTATCAAATTCCACTTGTTTTTTCTCTACATAACTAGAAAATTGAAACAACTAGATTTTCTACTAGCCAATCTTCCCCACCTTTGGGGTTCCTTCTGAATGAGCAAAGGATACGTCAGGAAGCTCTTGTTGGGGCTGGTTCCCAAGAATGCTCTCCCAGAGGTCCTGTTCAGTCTAATCTCTTACGTCCTCTTGTGGAGAATCACTGAGAAGCTACGTTGGTAACGCTGATCCTTGAGATCCATAAGGTCCTGGGAGGCCCCTGAGTCACCAGGCAGTTAATCATGTACAGCCTGGCATTAGTCACCCGTGTATTTTATTATGTTCTAATTCTATAAAAATCAGTACTTCCCTGTGGGGAAAGTGACTCCAATTCTAACAGAAGAGGCAGTTTCTGCTAAGGTCCCAGATGCACGTGGACGGCACAATCGTTGGCGAGTGAGGGAGCCTCTACCAGTTCACAAGTAGTCACTCCAATTATTACCCAATTAGCTAAACTAGTAACTAACTGGTAATGCCCAGGGGGTGTACTCAGGGTGGTTTTCTGTCTGAGTCAAGTATTCAATGTTGACTAGTCTGAGTGAGTCATATGCTTCTTAAACTCAGATGCAATGGTAATTTTTCTTTTTCTGTTTTTGAGGAATAGCTCTCTTATCATTTCCTAAGAGAAGACTCGAGCCAGAAACAGGAGATCATAGGCTCGGTGGTCGATGCCCTGCCCTCTCCCTGTTGTGCTGGTGTTGTTTGAGCCCAGAAAATACCACCAAAGCCACATGTTATAGGCATGGGTTTTGGGGAAGTAGAGCATGGATGGAGTAGCCCTGAGGACCACTAGCAGGGAAGAAGGGCTTTTTAAAAGATGCCAGGTCTACCCTGACCCCAAAAGATGGTCACAAGGAACACAGCAGACACTGCAGCACGTGCAGTGATTATGATTACAAGTGCCGTGTAGAAAATACTGTTAGTTGTTCATCAGTCATTGTTTTTATTTGTTGTTGTTGTTTTGTTTTGTTTTTAACCAACTATTTCCAGAGCAAACACTACCCAAACACCTTTCTTTCTGGAAGTTCTGAACGATGACGTTAAAAGGGATTGTTTTCAAGGGCTGGAGTTCTTGCTTATTGGGTCTCATTTGTCTACAGTGAATATGTATTGCCTGTAATAAGAGGCGGGGAAAAAAAGCTTATTTGTCATCTTAAATACATTAAGGCACTTGCATGCCTGCCCCCCATCCAATGGGTTATTTTCATTTATTTGTGTGCCTTCCTAGGCCTTGCCAATTCACACATAATTTCTCCATTTAGTGTAATTACATAGAGATGCAGTTCCACATTCTGCTATTTCAAAGCATTGTTGCACATGAAAAACAGACAGCAGAGATCTTCTGCGATGTGACTCAGGGTAACCCAGACCCCAGGCTGATGCAACTCTCTCTCAGACGGGCTGGGCCTCCGTGCAACATGTTGTCACCTGTCCAGCAATCTTGTGACCGAACCTCCTTGGACACTGAGGTGTCAGAGCGTATGCTTCTTTGGTTTTTGCCTATGAAAATGTATAGTTTGTTAATAGCCCCATAAATTACTTGGAATAAGAAGCCCGTTCTCTGGAAAAGACACATGAATAGGTTTAGATTTTTATGGGGCTGAATCAGCCAAATCAAACACAGGCCTTTCCTGAGGCGTCCAAGTGTTTAATGGAAACTCACGCTCTTCAGAAACTCTGCTGCCTAATTATAATTCATGCCTTTTGCAGATACATTGCAGGGTGGACCGAAAGGACAATGTTAGACGTGTTCTCTTGTGACTTCTATTGTGTTACGTGGGGAGCGCCAGCGGCACATGTCGATGGCCGGGTGCGTGCAGAGACATGGGCCAGCTCCTGGCAGGCTGACCTACTTCAGTCGGAAGGAGGAAGATAACTTTGCAGTGTTGCAAATACAGACTCCATGCTCCAATACAGAACCAGCTTTCTGTGGGTGGCTGTGCATCAGTCACCAGTGTCAGGATTTCATTTAAAAGCATAACCCAGACCAACCCCATCATGGTTTCATTAGAGAGATCCTTTTGAAACCTGGGGAAAAAAAAATGGACTGCCCACATTTTATTTTAAGGAGAACTTTCCCTTTTCTTTCTTTATAAACAGGTCTAACTGGTGTCAAGGGAGAAAAAGGAAACCCGGGCATTGGAAGCCAAGGTCCAAGAGGTCCCCCTGGGCCAGCAGGTAAATCCCCCTACCTAACAGGAAATTGCAAAGGAAAATTCTAAATCTTTGTATGCACTAGATTTCGCAGGTGAGGAAAGTGGCCATATTACATCTTTGTATCTAATTGGAATGGCTGTAGTTCACATTCATTTTGTTAGGAGGCCAATCCTCCTAATACAAGCCCCTAAAGTTACAGCATGTTCTGGATTTTATTGGTTGCATGGGTTAGGATAGGCTAGGATATGCTGTAGTAACAAATGCTTAGTGGATTAACACCATAAAGGTTTATATCACACTCATACAAAGTTTGATGCAGGTGGTTTCCCCCCATTTTGGAACAAAAGGCCTCCAGGAAAAAGATAAAGGAGGCAGAGCAGCTTTCAGCTTCCTAAACACAGAATGACATAAGTCACTTGCTATATTTCACTGGCCAGAACTAGTCACCCAGCTCCAACTGACCTTCAGGGGAAGCTCAAATCTCGAGGAACACATGGATATGTGATGAGCGCTGATAGTTTCGGCCACCATGGTACTTACTGAATGAGTTTTGGGTGAAGTTTCGTGTTTTGTGTACGTTACTAGGTGCTTTTAGAATGGTCTCCAGATGATCATACTCGTTAGAATTATAAGAATGGCCCTCAGATGACCATGCTTGTTAGAATTATAAATTGCAATCCTGTTGGATATTTGTAATCCCTGTCTTGGCCACATTGAATCAAATGCTTTACAGATTTTTCTTTCCAGCCTAATAATGATTTTGGAAAGTGCTTTTTCTAAGACAGATTCCTAATGCAATGCACTCCTTTTGAGTGTAAATGTTCCTATTATTTGAGATTGTATGAGAAACTGATGTAGCATCATGCATTACACAGAATGCATGTTTGGTGAATGCTGATTGTGAATGAAACTGAAGGTGTCTGAGAGCCACAACACTTTTCAAATAAAAGGTAATAGTTGTTCCTAAGTTTCATTTTGGTGCTAGTTGAAGAATATCTTTTAAACACTGTTGGAATCCAGGCCTAAAAACAAACATAACCAACCCACCACCACCAACAAAAACCTCCCAGCCTGATAAACTGCTTTGATTCACAGAAATGTTACTCCCTCTCCTATTTTCACTTAATCTAAGTTTTCGGCTGTTACAAGCTAGCCTAAAGCCATTTTGGATTNTGAAGACATTTTGGATTAGTATGTTGGGTTCAATTTCAGACTTTTCCTTTTTCCCCTGTAGGATAATTTCTTTCATACCCAGACTAATTAATTTCAATTGTCTGGAGCCATAAACCAGTATAGATGGTGAGGTTGAGATTGAGTGTCTTTGTGTGTGAGTGTGTGTGAGTGTGTGTATGTGTGTGTGTGAGTGTGTGAGTGTGAATGTGTGTGAGTGTGTGTATGTATGTGTGTGAGTGTGTGTATGTGTGTGTGAGTGTGTGTATGTGAGTGTGTGTATGTGTGTGTGAGTGTGTGTATGTGTGTGTGAGTGTGAGTGTGTGTATGTGTGTGTGAGTGTGAGAGTGTGTGTGTGTGTGTGTGCATGTGAGTGTGTGTGTGTGAGTGTGTGTATGTGAGTGTGTGTGTGTGTGAGCCCATACATTGACTTCATCAGGAATGACAGTGGGAAACAGAAGCTTTATAAAGAAAACAAGGTTGAGAGTGGAATCCTCCTTTCCCCTTAATATCCCAGAGGTGATAGGAAAGAATATATTTTGTTTCCCAGGTTTCCTGAGCTGATTAAAAGCATTGCCCTCCAGGAGCACGTGGAACTAAAGTATGACCCCCTCCCAGGGAATCCAGTTTAGGAAGAAGAATTTAAAGAGTAGAAAGAGGCAGATTATCCTAACTGCCAAAATGTGTAAGGTTGCTTCTTGTAACAGTTAGTTTACTTCTTGGTGTCTCAAAACTCACCCCGTGGTGGTAAAAAAGACCAACTGTTTCCATTTGTGGCTGCTTTTTAGGACCTGCAGGGGAGAGTCGACCAGGAAGCCCAGGGCCCCCTGGCTCTCCTGGACCAAGGGGTCCACCCGGTCACCTGGGGGTGCCTGGACCACAAGGTCCTTCTGGCCAGCCTGGATACTGCGACCCTTCTTCATGTTCTGCCTACGGGGTGGGAGGTAAGTGCCAGCCCCTTCTGGGCCTTGAGCAATGCTTGACTATGGTTCACACATTATGGTTCATAATGGTGGAGGGTTGCTATGAAAAGTAGGCCGACACTGGGAGGGAAACAGAACTTGAACTTCTTACTACCTTAAGTGATCCAGCGGCATCTTCTATAAAGTGCAAATTACTCTAGAGGTTACCTCTTTAAAAACCATAAGAGGGAATTCAAAATAACAGCACATCTAAGCCTTCCTTGTTTCTGAATGGCAATTTGCGCACACTTAGCCTGTGACCTCATGTTTGGTCACTGGGAGTCATGTTCAAACATTCTTTCGGGCGCCTCATTTTATGTCAACTGCTGTGGTGTGGCCATGATGTCCTGTCAAATTTTACTCTTGTTTTGAGGAAACCTCACACTTAGAACTTACCCCTGACTGGGATCCCCTAGATTCTCCTGGGTGACATCCTGCCCACCACATGCATGGATGACCAAGAGTCATTTTAAAGAGAAACAAAAGTGGCCATGAGGTCCTTGCCTCGTTACTAACTACTGGACTGAGACTCTAAAAAGATTGTGCTTCCTAAAAACATCTGTAGTCTGCATGTTGGCGGGGTGTGCAGTGGGACATGTTCTGCCATCATCACTCTCGGAAGCACCTAGAGAAATGTTCAGAGACCGCTTTGGGGCAATGCGCTTACTAGTCAATGAAGTTAAATTTAACCTTATTTGCCAGAGGAACTGGTCAGAGTTTTGCTGATGTGTTTTTCTCTGTTCATTTCTTCCCTCCCTGTTCTCTCAAATCTTCCTGTCCTTTGTAAAGACCTGATCCCTTATAATGATTACCAGCACTGAAGTGGACCTCCTCCACTCTGGGAAAATGGCTACGGATACAGAACTGTCCTGTTCACCACCACCACCCAGCCCCTGCCCCTAACACTGGGCACTCTGCTTCCCTGCCTCACCTCCTTCCCTGTCTGCCCATTGGTCACATCTCTTGCCCTCCCTGCTCCCAACACACCCAATGATATACCGGAAGTGAGCCAAATCACATGTCAACCACGACAGAAACGGACTGCTCCATATCAGCTTGCATATAGGTACACGGTTGTGCACCTGTTTATCCCAAACTCCCCTCTGTGAAGGCTCAGTGATAAAGTCACTTACATGTGCCTTCTCCCCGCACCAGTTTGATGGGCATCTATCTCCCTGTCCGCCCTACTCTCCATTACTCCTCTGATCACCTCCCCTCCCTTCGGCCCCCTGGTGATGGACTTCTAACATGAGATCGGGTTTTAAAATTTATTTTTCATAATTCTGCTGAGTTTTCAGGGTTCCTTTTGTAAATAAAACATATAATATTTAATCAGTCGGCTGTGCTTCTGGTTGTCTAACGATTTCTGTAACATATCTGTCCCTTCCTTCTTTTACTAACCCTCTGAAACCTCATGGGGAAGGGGCAAGCAGTGTGGTGGGCAAAAAAAACAAAACTGCTTTCTTTCTTCTATACCCAAGCAGGATACCTCTGTAGTTTAATGACCAATTCTATGTCTCTGTGGACTGATATGAGGGGAGAATATCAATTTATGGTTTCTGGGTCCTATCAAGTCCCCACCCCCACTCTTCCTCTTTAGCTCCCCATCCTGACCAGCCGGAATTCACTCCTGTCCAAGACGAACTGGAAGCCATGGAGCTGTGGGGCTCTGGGATCTGAAAGCGTCGCGAGAAATTCGAAAACCAACTGCAAAACCTCTGAAGGGACCTTATTCAAGAAGCATGGCATTATGTGGTTTGTATACTACCTTTGCGGGGCTTGCTTCACCAGCCTACATCTC